CAGTTGCACATCAGTCCAAAATCATGAGAAACTTGTCTGCAAATATTCAAACCACTGGAGGTAATGTGTAACACCCAAAAACTAGGAGTAAAGTGCTTTTTATCCCCAAAACATATACATTTAATGTAAAAGAGATAAATATTGTATTAAAATTATGTGGCTACCTAAAGCATTTCAGACATCAAAGGAGATAAGTGTAATTTACTAAAAAAAATTAAATTACATAATTTTTTTTTTTTTACAATGTCATGATGCTGCCAATGAGAAAGAAAAGGCCACCACAACAATTAATTTGTTTTACGTGCATATAATTAATGAAAAAAAAAATTACCAAAAAAGATAAAAAGGGTTAGAATTTATATATTTTTCATATTCCAAATGTTTTCATAGTTTTAAATATATTTTAATGCATTTTTTACTTTTACCTAGGTGGTTTTTGATAAAACTAAAAATTGAAACTGAAATTTGAAAATTAAGTATTGAAAATTGAATGTTAAATTTTTTAAACTGAAAAACTGTTTAATAAAAATTTAAGTGTTAAAATAAAAATAAGTTGTTTGACATATATATATATATCAAATTTAAAATTTATTATTTGTAAATTGTATATTTTAATTTTTATATTGTGATAGTGGTGGTGGTGATAGTAATAGTGGCGGCAGTGGCTGTAGCAATGGTAGTAGTAGCAAAATAATGGTCATGGTTATGGTAATAATGACAGTGGTTATGGTAATAATGACAATGGTAACGAAGGTGGCAGCGGTGGCACATGTGGTGGTGTTGGCGGTGGCAGCAGTAGTGTTGTAGTGGTGTGGTGGTGGTGGCGGTGGTGGTAGTGGTGGCGGTGGCATAATGGTGGTTTTTACAATACTTATGTTTAGTATTTATAAATTTAGTCAGAATTAAGTAAATTTCATATGACTTTAAATTTTCTTTCCTAAGTTTTAGCTTATATTTTAAGAGGCACTTAAATTTGTAAGCAATATCAATTATAGTTATCAAACGAATTTAATTGATTATTATTTAATACATTTAATTTTAAGTACTCAATCAAGTTATCAAACACCCCTAATAGCTGGAATTAATTTCTATCAAATCGTATTGAAAATAAGTTCTAATAAAATTGTCACTAAAAATAATTTTTTTTATGACAATTTTTTGCATGTATCGCTAAAAATTGACAATGAGTGATTTCTTTTTTGTCACGATTTTTATAAATTATCGTTAAAACTTACAATTAGCGATATGTTTCTATAACGAATTTTTTAAACTGTCGTTGAAAGTTAAAAATTAGTAATTTTTTTTGTAATATTTTTTTAAAACTGTCGCTAAAAGTTATAACTAGTGATATTTTGTGACAATTTTTTAATTGTCGCTGAAAATTAACAATTAGTAATTTTTTTAATTGTGTTTGACGAAAAATGTCACTAATTATCATATGACTTATTGGATAATAAATTTACCTATTATGATCCATACGTAAATCCCCCCAATTAATAACATTCCTTTTAGTGACCCTTAGCATTTTTTTTTAAACCCAAAATATTTTTTTGATTGATTCAGGGGCGTAGTTGCAATTCTCAAACCAACTATTCCAAGTGGTACTACATTTACAATCAAGAGTGCAATTGAACCTCATCTTTCTTCCCAATCATTTACAACAAAAATTATTAGTAATTCCAAACTATATTGCGATACTCTGACAATACAAGATGGATCATTAATTAGACCTTGAGTTTGAAATAAGTTCTCACTTCTCACATGTTTAATACAACAATTATGTTTTAAGGATTTTTAAAATTTTTTTTTTTAATATTTTGTGTGGGTAAATTACATTAAAAACCCCTCAACAATTGCCCCATATTATTTTGCTCTCCTGAACTAAGAGTTGTAACACTTCAATCTTTCCTATCTATTAAATTTTTTTCTTTTCCAATTGGGCCTTAATAACTAAAATACCATTTCAGATCTAAAGGCAAATTACATTTTATTTGCTTGAACTATAACTCAATACTACTCTACCTCCTCAAACTTAAAAAAGGCTACACTTCCAATTGGGCCTTAATAACTAAAATACCATTTCAGATCAATTTAATTTGTATCAATGTAAATCTTTCATATCTCAAATTTCGTGAACTAAAAAACATATTATCTCTTTCTACTATTTTCTCTCTCTGTTTTCCTCATTTGTCCTACTCATGACAACAACCATACTTGGTTACAATATGGCTACCATTGCTGCCGCCTTGAGCAGAAGAAATGAGGGAAAAAAAGAATACTATCGTTTTAGGCATTCCATAATATTTGAGATGTTATATGCAGTCATATGTCAATTTTTCATTAATTTATGTAATGGATCTTTAATAAAATGTTTACATTGATAGTTCAAAGTGAAAAAATGTAGCTTTATTTAGTTAAGAAGGTAAAAGGATTTTGAGTGTGGTAGTTTACGGGGATAAAGTGCAATTTATCCTATAGCTGAAAGGATATTTTCGTCATAAAATCTAATTTGAGTTATGCAATAAGGATTTATTTTCTCTTAAAAATAGGTTTTCTACAAAAAAGTTTAGAAGAATTGTTGAGGTAAATATACTTTGTTTTGCAAGGTACAAAATTGTTTTCATACCTTTTTTTAGGTTTAGAAATTAAAGGCACAAGCCACACATGTCAATTTATTTATTTATTTATTTTTGATCAGTAAAGGAAATTTCATTTGAATAATAAAGAGTACAAAGGGGAAAAACAAGAATACATACAAAGCTTTGGGAAAAGAAACCTGTATCATTGTCAAACGTCATGCATCCCAACTATGTTGATACTCAAGAGCGAGAGTAATTATGTGCACCCCAAACACAACAACTGTGCATACTGAATACCGTACTAGATGAAAGTGGATCGGAGCTCTGAGACAGAACCAGACTATCTAGGAACTGAATGCCCGCAAAACAGAGCACTGTTAGAACTGCCTGGCCAAGATTGGTCGGAAAACCCCTCTGGTGTGGAAATGAGTGATTGGAGAAGATGAAGTACTCTTTTTAGCTGTAAAGAGAGGAAGACAAAGAGTGTTCAATGTGTGATCAATTAGTTCAAGGTTCCTTAGTTGAGATATCATGAGATAGAATACCTTCAATGTGAATAGAGTGTTGTTTATATAGAAGACTATGCTTGCTCCCTACGCTGGGTTCATGGAATTTGGGTGCCTTAAGGCTCTATTTATCATTGTTCAAGGTGGAGGACCACAAGGTGGTTGATCATGGAGACATGTGCTCATTGTAACCATGCATAAATCAGATTACATTCTCTTTGTTTAATTGATTCTGTGATTCTAGGAAAAGGGGACCAGCTGAGGTGGCACTGTGCACATGCATGTGTTCACAACGTCTATGCCTACTTGAGAGTTCTCCAACTCAGTTCCATTCATACGCCAGCTTGGCCCTTTATAAGGTTGCTCAGGAGATGAGTTGGCCCATTTGGATTTCCTTGAATGAGTTTGACCCACTTCGGTTCTACTGATGGTTTTGGCCCATCAGTTTGGCCCAATTCATGACCATGCCTAAGCTGGCCTATTCCTCAATGTCCTTGACCCAAGTGCTTGAGGACTTTGGAGGATAATTTGAGTGAAGATGGGCTCACTCGTTTGGCTCACGTAGGTATATGGCCCATATTGAATGGCCATTTGGGTTTGGGCCTAGTGGTATGGATCGACCCAAGGCTTAGATCCGCTCTATTTATATTTTGCCCCTAGCTCACGCTAAGGTTCTCTTTTCGGGTGCTACTATTCGGTATTCTAACCGTTCCATCACTTCGGTCCTTCTTTAGTTCAACCTTGGTAACGGTTCATACTTTTACATACACATGGCAGAGTGGTGTTAGTACGTAGAGATAGTGTACCGTTCCTCTACAAAAGGATACGACTTGTACCATCATATCGATTGAGGGTAATAAACACCCTACGACTATTCTTTCGCCTTTTCACTGATTTCCAAAGTGTTGAAATTCCAAAACCCTTTTGCTCTCCTTTTCTGGTTTCAAAGGTGCTTTGCTCTGATGCCTATCTCCATTGCTGTTGGTTCCAGAGGCTGCTCTTCCTTTTCGATTCTAGACTTTAGAACCTACATTCTCCTTTGATGACTGTTGCTCATTTACTAAATCCTTGCAAGTTCCTCTGAATCTTCCTTTCTTTGTGTTCTTTGGTCTCCATCACCATTCTTAGCTCTTGTGCCATTGTTTACAACGATTCGCATTGGAATGAAGATTTAGATTGAACGGATGCCCCAAAAGGATGGTTATTCAGGTCTCAATCTTCTGTCTTTGTATTTGCGTCTTTCTTTCTTCCATTTATTCTGCTTGAATGTTGTGCTAACTATGTTCCCTATTTTGTAGAATCTTCTTGCTACCAAATAAGGCATCCTCACGAAAATACTGAAACAATTAGGGCCTTCTGAGGTATAAGAAGAGGTCTGTCACTAAACTGCTAGATTATCAGGCCACTTACTGAACCACCATTCTGAAGTAAGCCAGACTTGCTGCTTCCTTGCTTGATTATTATACTGAAACTAAGACTCCTTCTGGCCTTGTTAATTATCAACCGCCCTCGTTCCAAAAGCCAATCCACCGAAATGACCCCTTTTTCTGCCCTTAGTTTCGTAAGAGGTCATTCAATGACGAAGTTGAGGTTTGTGACGCCCCAAAAATTTGAGGACATCATAATAAGGTTTAAAACTTAAAATCAATTTTCTTAATTAAGAATCCTCATCAATGTTGCCACCAAATTTATTATCATCCATTAATTAACAACACAAAAACTAAAAGTTCTTAAATTACAACTCCAGTCAAACTTAAAACTTTGTCTTAGTACACAAATATAAAAAAAAAAAACTTGAGAAAAATTAGAAAACTCAGAAAAATGGTTTATGGAACTTTGGCACACTTTAAGCTAATCAGGGCTGAATGTTGCCTTCCAACACCTCAGTTAGGCCTGTCAACGGATCGGGTATAACCCGAATCCGATCCGAATCCGATCCGATTAATCCGGTCCATTTATGCAAATCCGAATCCGAATATCTGTTTAACCCGTATCTGTGTAGCCCGATTTTAAACGGGTCGGACTCGGATAAATCCGATCCAATCCGTTTGTTTGCCTAATCCGATTCCATTGAAATCAGATCTCTCATAAACAGATCTCTCTCATCGTCTGAAAAGTGCGTTCTATTGTTGAAGTTCATCGTCTGAAGATCAAATCTCTCTCTCATCGTCTGAAAATGCTCCGATTGATGACGATGAACCTAGCCAAATCGAGCTCTCTGCTCCGATTGGATTCATAACGCTCAATTTCAAAGAACGAAGTCCAAATCTTGTCAGATCGGAGCTACGAACTGTAAGAGATCATCTCTCTGCTCCTTTTTATTTTTTATTTTTTTTGTTGGGTCTCTGTCCCGTATCAGATCTGTTTTTGTTGCCGATCTGATTCTTACCCGTATCAGATCTGATTCTTGGTTTAAAGTTGTATGTATCAGATCTGATCCTATTGCTCTGTCAATGAGAGTTGGGTTTTGTTAATGAGAGCTGGGTTTTGTTACAATATTGAACAAGATCAAAGGAGACCGTGAATTTATTGTTTCTTTTTATTGATTTGAGAGTTGGGTTTTGTTAATGAGAGTTGGGTTTTGTTAATGTGGAAGTTTTTTTTTTAATTTTTTTAATTTTATAGTTTTTGATAACTATGGGCATTTTTTTTTTAATTTTAATTTTAATTTTTAAATTTGGGGCGTGTGAAAAGAATTTAGTTTGTAGAGGGTTTTGAATCTGGAAAGAAAGAACTTTGAAGGTCAAGTTTGAAAAAAGAGCAAATGAATATTTTTGATTGGAGGGTTTTTCAAATCTTACTATTTTTTTTTTTTTTTTGTTAAGTAGATGTGTAGAATACTTATGTGGGTTTTCATCAGTATGATATAAAGATTCATACAAGTAGTTTTTTTTTTTCCTAGATTCTTTGCTTATACAAGACTTATGGGGTTTCCTAGATTTGCTATACTTTTCTTTTTGACAGAAAGTTGACACAATCACTTATCACTCTTACTTGAATCACTATGTATAATTTTCTGTTCTTGAAATCATAATATTGGATGGCACTACTTGTTTATTTTAATTTTTTTTGCTGGGAAACTGCAGCACATACTTTGAATGACAAAAATATTTTTTACTATCTTGGAACACATCTTATGCAACCAAAAAACAACAAATTAATAAATAAAAAATAGAAACAAGATCACATGCAAATTCATTCTATTGAATAAAATTAGTGTACCTCTGATATTATCAACAAAAACAATGATCTTTTGTTGCTTGAGTTCCAAGAGCCACCTACGATTTTAGTATAAAATTACAAAAGGCAATACAGGTAAAGGTATAAAAGAAAGGAAAAAGAAGTCTAAAGAAATCATACTTTCACAACAAGGCTCCCCAAATTGGAATTGGAAAGTGACCCAAAATCAATATTCTATGGATACAAAATCAACCACTAAAATATACATGGGAACAACCCTCGAGGTCAGATGCTTTCACCACTGCAACCACCGTGCACACACGCATCAGAACATGTATACATTCTTATCTTCTGTGGTTGGTCTAATGGAAGTAACTGTAGGTACTTTCATGACAACCTTTCCCAGAGAGCCTCACTCAGATGTTAAGTCCTAGTAACAAATGATGTTGTTTAATGAAGATCTGATTTTTTCACCTAGGTCAACTTGAAAATTTAGAATTTCGAAAATATATAAATGTGTACAAACACTGCTTTCCTTTTCTCTATTGACTCTTTGTTTTTTGGGGTTTGTTCGTGTAAATTTAGTTTACTTTTAATTGTGTGAACTATTTTATGACCTCGATGATATGTAAATCAGGATTATTCAGGAGGGCCATAGACTGGATCAGGGCCACCAGAAAATTTTGCTCTCAAGACTGTCCAAGAAATTATTACCTCAGGTAGTTGCTGACAACCCCCACTTCTTCCTTATGTTGCTCATTGCAACAATAAAATAGCTCCTGCCTTTATATTGCTAAATACAGTGATGGCTATGCTTTTGTATATTAAATTAGAATTAGATGTCTTAATTTGAGGATTAACTGTGAAACCTTTTAATATATATAAGAAGAGATCTTTGTTGTTTTTTGAAAAATTCACAAAAGTTGTGTATTTATTTAACTTCGACACATTCCTCTTACTCCATTTCCAACATTTTTATATGTGGGTGAGATTGATTTGGGATGGTTTATCCTTGTTGTCTATACTTAATTACAATCTCTTTGTTTCCGTTGAAAGATTGAATAGTAACGTGAAGAGTTTACCCCATTTGGCTAATGGGCAATAAAGCCTGTTACTCCTTTTTCTTGGTGAGAACCTGTGTTTAACTCTGGATTAAGAAACCATAAGTTTAACTTCTTCATAAATGACCACCCTAAAAAAGAAAAACAAGAAAAAAACAGAGAATTAAATAAAGGGGGACTTACGTTATGTCCTACTAGGTGGACTATTGTCCAATATGTCCTATAATAATGCCATTTTTCATAAACACATCAAAAAAACGTCACTATTTTTGTAATTTCGGCGACAATAAAAATTGTCACAAAAAATGTCAACTAACTAATAAGTTTTAGTGACATTTAAAAAAACATCACAAAAAAATCCTAAAGTCACAAATCTATATAATTCACATTGGTGCAACACTATTTTAAATGAACTCTGCTCCTTTATTTGATTTTCTTGTGTAGTGCATATTTGAGTTTAGAGCAAAGATGTCTTCGGATATAGCGAACCTATTACAATGCTCGATGATGGCCGATGGATGACGATGTATCTACAAGGACCCACAAAAGAGGATTCGAAAAACTAACTTCAAAGGTATGGATGACTTGTCAAAATTTAAAGGACCTAATGGAAAATGGCATGCTAGATGTAAGCATTGCAATAGGGAATTTGTTTGGAGAAGAGAGGAAAGGGGACTAGTCATTTAAAATCATTTCGAAGACAGTGTCAGTACTTAAAGGCAAATGCCCCTAGGAATATGCTAGTAAGGCTGCTTCTGAATCTACCATAAGGCTGCAAATTTTATAATTCGATCAAGAGAGAAGTCTATGGATTTCTAGATGGTTAATCAAGCCACAATATCCTTTAACATGGTTGAAGCATGAATTTTTTGAAATATTTTGTAATAATCTCAACCAATGTCAACTTGGTTTCTCGTAACACTGTAGGCTGGAATGGTTCCCTTGGATGTTTATGAAATAAAGAAAAAGGCCTAAGTTATATCAATTTTTGGGATAACTCTCTTCTAATGAATAACACCTTGACAACTGATATATGGACTTCAGACCATCAAGAATTTTGCCTATACATTTTGACTGCTCATTATGTGACAATGATTGGGATTGAAAGAAGAATAATCCTTGCTTATAGATCGCCAATGATTACCCGCATATGGGACCCATTTGTTTAGTTTTATCAACGATTAATTTAGAGTTGGAACATAGATAGAATGTTATTTCAATGGTGTCGAATAATGCAAACGAGTAATGATGTCATGGGTAGGACTCTTAAAGCGTGGCTACATGACCAAGGATATAATACATTTGGGGTGGAACAATTGTTCTGTGCGTTGTAGCGCGCACAATATTGAAATTTAGTTTGTTTCAAGGATGTTTAAGGTGATTTGGGAGTCTTATTTCAAAAAGTCCGAGAAAGTGTGAGATATTCAGGGAGGTCCCTTAGAAAACAAAAATTTGATGTTGCAGTGAATCCATGTTAAGTTACATCAAATAAAAAGAAAAGTCCCCATGGATGTTCCTACCAGATGAACTCCACTTATTCAATGCTTGAAGCTGCATTAGATTTGAAAAGTGTATTCCCACCGCTAGGGCAATTGACAAACAATATCAAGGCACAATCTTCTGAGGATCGAAGTGGAATGTAAGCAAATGTGATTTGGGGTGCTTGAAGATTTTTTTTGATGCTACATCTACTTTATGTACCACTTTTCCCGACTTCAAAATGTTGTTTTTCCCTGATATGTTTATTCAACTTGAATGAAAAAAATGGAGCAAAGTGAGTATGATCTGCATTCGATTTGATGGCCGGTCCAATGAGAGTGAAATTTCAAAAATAAATTGGGAAGAAATGTTCTTTTGGTGTTAGCAATGCATGTGTTCTTGATCGAGATTTAAAAATGACTTGGTGGAATACTACTTGGGCTTATTTATGGTGTTGATAGCTAATAAGCATATCAGAGGGTCGTAATGGTTTTGTTGATTCTTTTTTATGAGTAAGGGTGATTCTTCTGATCTATGAGTCAGCAATTTGCCATTGTTTGAAAATAGTAGCTTAAGTGGATACAGTTGCTTGTCGTTCTTCGAAACAAGAAAGTTTGGCTGCTTTTCATGCGTTGGTATGCTCCAGAATCGTGCTTCATAAACATTCATGCCTTCAAAAATCAGAGGTTGAGCAAATACTTTGAGGAGTTGTGTTTCCAAGTAATGAGAGCTATCAAATATCTAACATTGGTGATGAAAAGTGAATAAAGCATAATTTGCCTACTTTGGCAAGATAGCTCGTGAATGTTTAAGTGTTCCTGCTACTACGGTTGCATCAGAGGCGGCGTTAGGTGTAGGAGGTAGGGTGATTATGAGACAACGTGGCTTCATTACTTCCAGACTATTGGTGGAGGCTTGAATCAACTTGCCATATTGGATGAACAACCAAAAATAGAAGTAAGTGAATATTGAATTTTTAAATAATTAAGATTTATTATGTTTAGTTTATGATATCTTAATGTCACATTATTTCAAATTGCAGATGTAGAAAATGCAGACATGAGCTAGATGGATTTGAATGAATCGAATCACTTGAAAGTAGATGGGTAAATATGGTTCAGATTATGGGGCTTTGTCCCTGCCTTTACTAGTGATCAATGAAAATTCGTATTTGAACATTAATTTGATAATCTTTGCATTATTAAAGGTAATAGCTTTCTTGATTGCAAGGTTTGATAATGAGCTTAACAAAGCGGTGCCTATTAAAGTTATTGACTTGGAAGAACTGAGTATTAGGCTTTAATTATCTCTTTACTAGAACGCTTGTTGGTGAAAGTGGTTAACATAAACTTTCTTCTTGGGTCTGTGGTTTACAATATTAATAAGTCTATGTGAACTGCTCTGGTTATTGGTACTTTTACAAATTACCCATGTACATGTGTTGGATTCGTCTGAATAAATATTTTTGTTAAGATGGTAGACGGTTGTGCTGATTTGCCTACTTCCCATAAAAAATACTGTTTGTCTCTTTCTATTCTATAGTTGCACTTTCTCAGAAATTGACAGCAAAATAAGTGGTTCTTCCAAATCAGTGGCTTCACTAAACATTCACTCATTATCCCCAGAATTGAGGCAATAGAGAGCAACATACTGAGCACCCTCCCTCCTAATTCTTTCAATCTTTCTTTGCTGACTTTAATCTTATAGTACCACATCTAACCTCAACTAGTTCAGTGAGAAAGATTGTTCAGTAGTTCTCGCCCCTTCCGTTTCATCGTCTGTAGCAACATCTGAAAAAAACCTCTCTATATGGTCCACGAAACGCTTTCACTCTCCTATCTCATCACGCTCGTTTCCCAAGATCTCTTGTATCATCAAATCCTTGCAAGCCCCTTATCCATAAACCATCTTCACACACACTTGCGGCATCTCCAATTTTGTCTCACCAAGTTTGCAAGGCAAGAACTGCTCCTCTAGTATGGAAATATTCTACGGAACAACCAAAACAAAAATTAACAGTATATAGATATTAGCAAAACAAAAAGAAAAGAAAAAGAAAGGACAATGAGTAGAGAATTGGAACTAAAAGGCCAAGCTGCTTCCAATTGTCAAACATGGAAGTATCTGCCACAGTCTCTTCTCTTTCCTGTGCCACAGCTGCTTCCAAGCCCTAAAGGCCAAGCTGTTCTCTATCTCCTCACCTCCACTCTAAACCATGTTCTCATCATTCTATATCTGTCCCCTTTCTGGGCTTTAATAAAACATACCCACAAAGCTACCATGTACAGACTCAAAACAAGGCAACAGAGGAACCTAGTTGTCCCCATAAGTGCTTCTGGGCTGAAACCACTGCAACAGATGCATATCATATTTATTTTTATTTTTATTTTTATTCTATAACTACAGTGAAGTCCCATAATTGCAAAAGCAAAGGATTATAGAGACAAGTTGCAGCTACTTCATGATATAACCAATTCATTCTCTAATCATTATCAGCTGAACCAAAATAAGTGGTCTACATCTATGTGGCACAATGTTAATTGCCTTATAAAGTGGAACTAAAGGGTCATACCACATGATGCAGTTGCCTATAAATATATTATAATATAACAAAAATATATATATATATATATAACAAAATAAGGTCTCCTCCCTGATCGGTGACTTTACTTGGGTCCACTGCTCTTTATCAACAAAATTGTTTTCATTATTGTTTTTATCTTCTCTTACACTTGCTGATACATTGATAAAATTACTTCTGCAGATGTTTTGGTGGCTGATGTTATCGTAGTAGAAGCAAAGAACAAGAGAAGATACTGAAGAACTAATAGAGAAGACCAAAAGAGACACAAACATGTTTGGGAAACTATTGTTAGCTCTCAGATAGTATAGCATAGCTTGTTCTTCATAGGAGTCTTTCATGAGTTTTTTCTGGTTTTACTTTTGTGCCAAAAGTGTGTCATAAAATTCTGACCTCTTGTAAGTTAGAGAATGCAGTGGCAATGTTTTGGTGGCTGATGTTACTTTTTTTTTTTGTCAATGATGGAATTATTCTTTTTGAGTTGGATATGATTGGTGATAGTGAAACTGAATCACATCACCGTTTAATTTGCAACCAAGTGATTGGTTTGTTGCTTTGTAATGATGCTCCATTGTCTCTCAAAACCTGGTGACATCTTTTGAGTTGTTTTTACACCATGAATGCAACAGTGACTTTTGTACTCTATCTGGGATATGATCAGGTTGAGTTATTGAGCTGGGTTAGGCTTGTAAGCTTTGAATTAGACTGCTCAGCTTAGTATTGTTTGATTTGATTTGTATGTTCAAAATCCGAGAACATATGTTTAGCATGTGTAATGAAATAGACTTGTTTCCAATTTTGATGTTGCTAGTCAAACATGCTAGATATTTTTCAATTTCACTTTTAGTTTGCTGGAATTGAATATTTTTTTTAAAAAGTTTTTCTTTGTTGTTACTTCATGCTACATTGTGAAAGCCCTCATTTATGTATTTTTGATTGTATCACAAGGGGAGAAATTATGATGTTTTGTTTTGGAAAGATGCTTTGAAATGATGTTATGTTTTGCATTGGTGATGATTTGCCTAAATGTTTTGCCTTAGGAAAGTCAGAACATCAAGATGAACTTTTCATTATAAAAAGCTGCTATGTTTTTTTTATAATTGGTATTTTCTTGACTTTATGGCTGGCTTAAAAAAAAAAAAAAAAAAACGGATCGGATCGGATTATTCGGATCGGATATCCGTGTAAAACGGATCGGATCGGATCACGTATAATCGGATTTTCAATAATCGGATTCGGATTCGGATTCGGATTAATAGTTAATCGGATCGGATCGGATTTTGGCAGATCCGACCCGGATCCGACCCATTGACAGGCCTAACCTCAGTGTTTCCTTCGGTTTCTTCGGTACCTGGCATGAAATGCCAGGGCAACGAGAATGCCAATGAGCAACGAGCACAATAAGATACTACAACCCAAAATACCCACCCCGATAATAATACTCACAATTAATGAATAATGCATAGTAACAGAATAACATGTAACATTTAATAAGCATAACATAAATGCCATCAGTTGAAATAATAACAATAGATAATAAATAAAAAAAAATGACAAACAAAAGCAGTATTTCATCATAAGGAAAATGCCCACTTTTCTTTTTAAATTCTCATAGATTTAGTTTATCAGATAAGTTTAAATAACTCTCTGCGGAGCACTATTTCCACTCAACTGCTAAACAATGGCCACGGGCAATTCTAACTCTCTCTTGGTAAAATATTCAAATGTTACTTGTTGTAACTACCAATGATGCCCACGCACCAGGGTTATGTACCCGAGTCGTGACATCACGGTCTGCCCCAAGGGAGTGGTCTATGTTGTGACACCCGCACCATCAACCTTATATCGCCTATACCGATAGGAGCCGAAATACCTTCTCGTGCCATGTTAGGGTTTGCAACTCACTTGCGCAAGCTTCTAAACCGGGCTCACCCCATCACTTTAAATTTTTATTATATCATCGGCTCAATTTCGTGTTTCTTTACTTCTTCGAATTCACATTTTTTTTATGCATGTGCGAGTTTTAGCTTGATAACCACAGTGATATAATGTTTATATAGCACAACACAATCATATATGGCAACCAAAATAAATGTGATAGAATGTCTTGGGAATCTTCACAAAATTTCTTAAGAATTAACACACTTCTTCTTTCAGCACTGCATGGTCAGAAAACAAAAATATGAAACCCATACCAAACGAAGTTCAACCATCATAATATTTTAACTGGTGCTAGTTCATCGAGTTAGGAAAATATTTCGAGAAGAATACCAGGGCTAAAAACGATTTTAAAATAGAGAAATAATTTTTGGAAGAAAACTGGTTTTCTAAGACAGTGAGTTACTTTAACCTCCAACACAGGTGTTCTGTGTTCAAAAAATAAAAAGGGGCCTCAAATGGTGTCAAAAAGAGGCATGGTCAGAACGGTTTGCTAAATATTTGAGTTTAGAACATATTTCCAGAAGGATTTGAAGACTGAAAACCAGTGTAAGATGGTCTGAATCTGTCATATTTTGGAAAAATTGACGTTTCTCTCTCGATACTTAATAAAAAATTATGAAACCAGCGGCATATGAAAGGTAACTTAAAAATATAACTTTTCCAATTTGAATCACTTGAAAATTCATTCTGTAGAATAAACGGTGACCTGGTAAAGTCAGCATTACTGCTGCCTCCAGACAGCAATGAAGTTAAAAACATGTTTTAACCACGAAATGTTGTCGAATGATTTTTCTTTCGATATTCTAGCACCATGAGAACATGGTAAACGAACTCCAGTAATTTCAGATTTTATGAAAGTGTTCTCATGAGTTTGTTTAGGGTTCATTCAAAACGGACTAAAAATCTGCTTTGCTGGAAGTTCACTAGTTTGTGAAGAACACACTTTGTATCCACCATGAATCACATGCAATAAAAAAAAAAAAAATGTTTCTTACTATTATTCCCATGTGAAACTCTAATCCTTCATATTTACTTTTATTAGTGATAACAGAAAATAATATTTATGAAGAGTAAACACAAATTCATAAGCATGCAAGATTGATTCAACAATGGAGAATACTTGATCACATAAAAAGCAAAATCATTAACTAAACCACCTAATCCATACTTGTAAGAAGGACAAAAATTACATAATCATAAGATTATCATTCTATCCAAATGTAACATGCATTGAGCATTGGTGTATTATCAATACACACTCTTGCATATTTGAATGTATAGATTTAGTTAAGAAAAAAAAAAACATCTAAGGGACAATAGGGGTTGAGTATTTTTACCTCAATGAAGTACAAGTGTTGAGCCTTTCTTCCCCTCTCTTCCCCTCTCTTCTCTCCTTTCCCTTTTGCTTTCTCTCCCTCTTTTTCTCTTTGTTTTGCTCAGTTACATGTGTGTGTAATGGAAGGCTGAATAGTGCTCATAATTATAGGAGTTTGAGGGCCTAATTTATTATTATTATTATTATTATTATTATATTTTTACTTTATTTCTCTTTTAGCTTAGGGACTATCATCTAATAGGATAGCTTACAAGTTGTTGCATGCCGTGGTTTCCTTAACAAAGGCTTGGAATTGCCATCTATGCATGTAGGCGTGGAGTGTGGCAGTAAGCAAAGGCATGCATTGGCATGCTTGGGCCAAATTTCTCTGCCCAACATAATTTTTTTTTGGTACAAAATAAAAATCAATTGAATACATATATATATATATATATATATATAACCTAGTCATTAGATATTTTGCTCTCTACTATTCTCTTACTAACTTAGTTATTATTTGTTTTAACTCATTTAGTTTCCACAACTATATTTAGATACAATTTATTATTATTATTATTATTTATTTATTTATTTATTATATTTTTTTTCAGAAAGATAAATAATTTTATTTAAAGGAATCTAATTTTGGTATTAACCATGATGCTATTTACATTATAATTCGATAATTTAATAATCACTGTTAACTGACTTAATATTATTATTAATCAAACTAATTAGTTGTCTAAAAAAAAATTTAGGTTCTCACAAGGTTACTTGTAGACTTTGAGGTAGAGCTTTTGGTTCTTTTTTTGCCTTGGACACTGCTGGAATCAAGACTGAGGCGAAAAGCTTAATGAAGGTAAAGCTTGAGAAGGGAAGTGTTAGCCTTTCTACCGTTATCATTGAAATAAAGGCCCTAGCAGTTGAAAGGGCCAATAAGAGAAGGAGAGAAACTAGAAAGGGTAAGGTTGGTGAGGCTTCAGGAGAACCTATTGTTGATGAGTCTTTTGAACAATGGAAACCACCTATGCTGCATCAAGGCATACCCATTTCAACTTTTGATTATGTCGTTGCATTTGATGAAGTTGCTTTTGATTTGCCCAAGACCTTAGTACTACTCGTGGATATGGCTGACCACAATGGACCCCATGACATACTATTCATGAAGGGGACTTTACAAATGATGACTGTTGTAAGTGCTTTGGTAATCCTTTTGTTGTTTTCTGTTAAACTATATAGTTTCCTTTTCCTTACTGTCTTTCTGCTATTACAGTACATTTAGAGGATGCATCTTTCCATCACCTGTATTGAGGTTTTGGAGAAGGCCGTACTAGAGGCCGCAATGAGTTCTTAGAGGATGACTATAAGCCTAGAAAATGAAAAGGAAGGCTGAAGAGGCATAAAATGAGATGTTTTTAGATTGAACAAGGTTGTTAATGCTGTTAAGAAGTCTAAGGATGTTGCCCTTGAGACATAGACAAAGCTTGAGGGAAAGCTTGTCAAACTAGAGGCCGTCGTCATTGTTATAGCGCTTAGCAAACTGCTCTAGTGGCTAAGTACTAGCAACAAGGTTGGGATGAAGCTGGTGCGGCCTACAAGGAGGAGGTGCTTGTGCTTCGCGACAAACTCTTCCTCAAAGGATGGATGAGTGCTTTGGTTATCGCTGATGTGCTTGAAGAGTCTCCCTTATTTGAAGATGTCCTTATTCTCTCAATGTCTGTTGGTCGTAAGGCTGTTGCAACCCCACAATCCATGATTTCTCTGGGTGCTGGCTCTATAACCAAGACCCCAAAGAAGGATATTGCTCAAAAATTGATGGAAGTTGATGAAGGTAAGGCCCAAGAGAGAGGTGCTGCAGAGGGAGGAACTGTTAAAGCTCCTACTATTCAATACGTTGGCACTATGTCTGCTTCTCCTTCCAAGGTTGTTCCAGATAAAGTTGTGGTCCCTATTGTTGAAGAACCCTTTCCCAAATGATGTGATATTTGACTTGACTTTATTTTCTTCTTTTTTTCTTCTCTCTCTTTCTCTCTCTCTCTTGAAGTACTGGAGCTGAGCAAGGATCCTCTAGAGTGATTTTTTCCTAAAGTTTCCTAGAGTGCTCCATTGTGTGGTTGAGATTTATTGGCAAGTCACATCAATTTTTCTGATGTGACTTGCCAGTGAATCTCAACCACACAATGGAGCACTCTAGGAAACTTTAGGGAAATTTCACTCTAGAGGATCCTTGGTGTTGTGCCTTTGGATGATATTTTTCTTTAATTTGGAATCAAAGATGGTATTTTGCTTCTATGTCTGGATATGTTTGTACTATTTACCCTCGGATGAGCACTATTGGGACTATCGGGTCAAATAGCTGCTCGGTCTAATCAGATGATGTATTTGCATGAATATGCTTCAATGTAATAGACTCAAAGAAGAGTGTCTTACTTAGGTCTAGGTTTGGGTGAAAAAATAATTGTTTGTGCCCACATGGAGCTGTGTAAGACTTGTGCTGAAAGCCTGCTCCTGAAAAAGTTATCCAAGTCTATTTCAACTTT